GAGAGAGAGAGAGAGAGAGAGAGAGAGAGAGAGAGGATTGGAACGATATAGAGAAGATTAGCATGTCCCAAAAAAAAAAAGGTGCGAATGTATCTGGCGCAGACAATGGACCAGGTACATTCGCACTTTCGTGTGCCCAGCAGCAGACACATAGAGAGAGAGAGAGAGAGAGAGAGAGAGAGAGAGAGAGAGAGAGAGAGAGAGAGAGAGAGGATTGGAACGATATAGAGAAGATTAGCATGTCCCCAAAAAAAAAAAGCCGCGAATGTATCTGGCGAAGACAATGGACCAGGTACATTCACACTTTGGTGTGCCCAGCAGCAGACACAGAGAGAGAGAGAGAGAGAGAGAGAGAGAGAGAGAGAGAGAATGGACCAGATACATTCGCACTTTGGTGTGCCCAGCAACAGACACACACAACAGACACACTTTGGTGCGAATGTATCTGGCCCAGACAATGGACCAGATGCGTTGGCCCTTTTGGTTTGGACTGTCCATTACAGTGTGACACTGAGTGCCAGTGAGTGGCAGCGGCCCAGCGGGGTGACAGGTTGTTGCATACTCGTGAAACACAGAACGAGAACCAACCTATCATACAAGTACAAGATAACGTAGCGGAAGACTTAGATACCAATGATCTGAACAATCAATATTGCAATGCAGCCCCGACATACATCATCATCGTTCATGGTGAGAAGGGGCCTGCCGCTCACACAGGAAGAATGCGCCAGTCCCCGCCATACACAGACGAAGAGGAGGGGGGTTAGACGAAGAAGAGGGGAATGTCGTCAACACCAAGTCTGTGATACAGGTCCCAAATAATCCCCGTCCAATGTCTGAATCCCAATGTCGAGTCTGGATCCAAGGTCTTCAAGTCTCAAGTCACAACTCTCTCTCTCTCTGTCGTAGTCTGCTGATACTGAGAAGTCAGGTGGTGAGTGGGTGAAGAAGAGATGGTGGACTTAGAAGAGGAAGAAGAAGAACTCTCTCTCTCTCTCTGTCCGGTACTAACCTGTGAAGTTGGCGCCTTGGTGCAGGTACCTCGAAGATGGAGCTGGAGCTATGGCGCCACAGGTAAGTCCCGCTGGCCTCCGCCAGCCATCTCTCTCCAACACTACTACCGCTACTTCGCGCCCTGCGCTGAAGACTACTCCTACAGCTACTAGCGCCCAGCGCTGAAGACTACTGCTAGCGCTAAGCTACTCCTGCAGCGCTCCTCCAGAGTGCTGCGGCCGAATCCTGAAGGCTGCCTCCTGCCTTCTGTCCAACTACCTACCCTTGAAGTGCATGGGAATTCCCTATGTACCACTCGGCCTACCTCCAGACTGCCTGCAACTGCAGGGCGAGGCAGTCCAGGAGGCTGCTCTTGCCAATGCCAGGGTGAACCAGGGGCTGGCGCTGCAGCTCCTGCTGAGGCTGTCGTGGGGAACAGGCCAGAAATAGCCTGTTCCCAAAACCCTGGATTTGTGCCTGAGTGTAAGGGCAGGTCGATCTTATGAGGGCCTGAAAGTGGCCCTCTGCTCCAGGCTGAAAAGACTCAGGGCTGAAAACTTGAAAAGCCCTGTTTTAGGCTGAAACGACATAGGGCCTGCAGGCCCTCGTTTTCAGTCTTTCAGGCTGAAACGACACGGGGCCTGTAAGCCCTTATTTCTAGGCTTTTAGGCTGAGAATGCGGGACGGGCCCTGCAGGCCCGTGTGGCTACGCAGTATGCCACACTGTCTGAGCCTGTCTCAGATGTCATCAGAATTCGTAACCATCTCTAATACTCAGAGTAGTCCGGCAGGAGAACCCGGAAGTAGACTTAGACTGAGAAGGTAGGAGGAGAGAGAGAGAGGAGAGAGAGGAGAGAGAGAAAACGTCCACTTTTCCGTAAATTTTTTTTTTTTTTTTTTTTTTT